TATCATGTCCAACCACCAATATGTCAGTGTCACAGTATCACGTCCAACCATCAATATGTCAGTGTAACAGTATCATGTCCAACCATCAATATGTCAGTGTCACAGTACCATATACAACCATCAATATGTCAGTGTCACAGTATCATGTCCAACCATCAATATGTCAGTGTCACAGTATCATATACAACCATCAATATGTCAGTGTCACAGTATCCTGTCCACCTATCAATATGTCAGTGTCACAGTATCATATACAACCATCAATATGTCAGTGTCACAGTATCATGTCCAACCATCAACATGTCAATGTCACAGTTAGCATCCAGCCATAAATATTTCAACATGTCAATGTCACAGTTAGCATCCAGCCATAAATATTTCAGTGTCACAGTATCACTTCCAACCATCATTATGTCAGTGTAACAGTATCATGTCCAACCATCAATATGTCAGTGTAACAGTATCACGTCCAACCGTCAATATGTCAGTGTCACAGTATCATGTCCAACCATCAATATACCAGTGTCACAGTATCATGTCCAACCATCAATATGTCAGTGTAACAGTATCATGTCCATCCATCAAAATGTCAGTGTAACAGTATCATGTCCAACCATCAATATATCAGTGTCACAGTTAGCATCCAGCTATCATTATGTCAGTGTCACAGTATCACGTCCACCCATCAATATGTCAGTGTCACAGTATCATTTCCAAACATCAATATGTCAGTGTCACAGTATCATTTCCAACCATCAATATGTCAATGTCACAGTATCATGTCCAACCATCAATATGTCAGTGTCACAGTTAGTGTCCAACTACCAATATGTCAATGTCACAGTTAGTGTCAAACCATCAATATGTCAGTGTCACAGTTAGTGTCCAACTATCAATATGTCAGTGTCACAGTATCATTTCAAACCATCAATATGTCAGTGTCACATTTAGTGTCCAACTATCAATATGTCAGTGTCACAGTTAGTGTCCAGCCATCAATATGTCAGTGTCACATTTAGTGTCCAACTATCAATATGTCAATATCACAGTTAGTGTCCAACTATCAATATGTCAGTGTCACAGTTAGTGTCCAACTATCAATATGTCAATGTCACAGTTAGTGTCAAACCATCAATATGTCAGTGTCACAGTTAGTGTCCAACTATCAATATGTCAATATCACAGTTAGTGTCCAACTATCAATATGTCAGTGTCACAGTTAGTGTCAAACCATCAATATGTCAGTGTCACATTGAGTGTCAAACTATCAATATGTCAATGTCACAGTTAGTATCCAACTATCAATATGTCAGTGTCACAGTTAGTGTCAAACCATCAATATGTCAGTGTCACATTGAGTGTCCAACTATCAATATATCAATGTCACAGTTAGTATCCAACTATCAATATGTCAGTGTCACATTGAGTGTCCAACTATCAATATGTCAATGTCACAGTTAGTATCCAACTATCAATATGTCAGTGTCACAGTTAGTATCCAACTATCAATATGTCAGTGTCACAGTTAGTGTCAAACCATCAATATCTCAGTGTCACAGTTAGTGTCCAACTATCAATATGTCAATGTCACAGTTAGTGTCAAACCATTAATATGTCAATGTCACAGTTAGTGTCCAACCATCAATATGTCAATGTCACAGTTAGTGTCCAACTATCAATATGTCAATGTCACAGTTAGTATCCAACTATCAATATGTCAATTTCACAGTATGTGTCAAACCATCAATATGTCAGTGTCACAGTTAGTGTCCAACCATCAATATGTCAGTGTCACATTTAGTGTCCAACTATCAATATGTCAATGTCACAGTTAGTGTCCAACTATCAATATGTCAGTGTCACAGTATCATGTCCAACCATCAATATGTCAATGTCACATTATCATGCCCAACCATCAATATGTCAGTGTCACATTTAGTGTCCAACTATCAATATGTCAATGTCACAGTTAGTGTCCAACTATCAATATGTCAATGTCACAGTTAGTGTCAAACCATCAATATGTCAGTGTCACAGTTAGTGTCCAACTATCAATATGTCAATATCACAGTTAGTGTCCAACTATCAATATGTTAATGTCACAGTTAGGGTCAAACCATCAATATGTCAGTGTCACATTTAGTGTCCAACTATCAATATGTCAGTGTCACAGTATCATTTCCAATCATCAATATGTCAGTGTCACAGTTAGTGTCCAACCATCAATATGTCAGTGTCACATTTAGTGTCCAACTATCAATATGTCAATATCACAGTTAGTGTCCAACTATCAATATGTCAGTGTCACAGTTAGTGTCCAACTATCAATATGTCAATGTCACAGTTAGTGTCAACCATCAATATGTCAGTGTCACAGTTAGTGTCCAACTATCAATATGTGAATATCACAGTTAGTGTCCAACTATCAATATGTCAATGTCACAGTTAGTGTCATACCATCAATATGTCAGTGTCACATTGAGTGTCCAACTATCAATATATCAATGTCACAGCTAGTGTCCAACTATCAATATGTCAATGTCACAGTTAGTATCCAACTATCAATATGTCAGTGTCACAGTTAGTGTCAAACTAGTGTCAAACCATCAATATGTCAGTGTCACAGTTAGTGTCCAACTATCAATATGTCAATGTCACAGTTAGTGTCAAACCATTAATATGTCAATGTCACAGTTAGTGTCCAACCATCAATATGTCAATGTCACAGTTAGTGTCCAACTATCAATATGTCAATGTCACAGTTTGCATCCAACCATCAATATGTCAATGTCACAGTTAGTGTCCAACCATCAATATGTCAATGTCACAGTTTGCATTCAACCATCAATATGTCAATGCCACAGTTAGTGTCAAACCATTAATATGTCAACGTCACAGTTCCTTGTCCAACCATCAAGACGGATACCCTCACATCTACTCACATCGAGACTTCCGAAGTCGATGGTGTCGTAACCATGAACGTAACCTGCAGCACCGACTACAGCTTCATCGGGCAGAGCAATGTTCTGCAGTGTGACGAAGACGGGCTCTGGCCTCAGATTGTGGGTTCTTGCAGTCGTACTCACTGGCTTAACCCTAATCCGGTAAGTTTTTGTGTAGCTATAATGTAAACAGGGGACATTGGCTCCAGCTGTTACATCAATATACTCTTTTAATGTGGCCCGCCTCCATTGGTCTAGTGGTAGAGCGTCCGACCGTAAGGCGGAAGGTCCGGGGTTCGATCCCCGACCACGTCATACCAAAAGACGTAAAATATGGTACTTGTTCTTACCCTGTCTGGCGCTCGGCATTAAGGGGCTAAAAGAAGGACTGGTCGGCTCGGAGTCGGTATACTGTGTATTCATGTTTAACTGCGGCATGGTGTCTCAGTGCATCAGTCCGGACTTGTTACGAGGAGCCACACACAGACGTGTATGCGAGTGACTATATAAGTGCAATTATCTTGGACGCGACTGTTAAACCCCATTTTACCTCACCTCACCTTTTAATGTGACTTTCACACGACCTACATGTTAACCATGCAGAGGTCGGTTGTATTACCGCAAAGCTTCATACTTTGTGTAAGTTAAATTGAGTATGCGAGTGTGAGTTCAATAAAGAAGAACCTTCAGAGTTGGGGCCAAATTGTAAGAATTTCCTAATATTTTGTATATCCCTATTTGTACGTCGAAAGATGTAAACTCAATTTCATTTGGTATGTGAGACTTTATGTTTTCACTATACAAAAACCAACTTTATCGCGGAAAAATAGGAGAGATGACATGAGTGTATTGTTATATATGCTCGTTCTACAGTTCAATCGTTTGTAACCAACCAACACATTTCAATAATATCGTAATAGGATGAGAAATGTCTAAATCAGTCACCGCGACAGTTCGTCGTCATACATTTCCATCAAGTACATGACCAAAATAAAACATGATTTCCAAAGTTGTCAATGAACCTGTGGTGTCATTCGTCACTGATAACTGTCACCTATATGCATTTTTAAGATGAATCGAAAAGACTGTGAAATGTTGACAACCGTCACTGTCAGCCTCAGCACGGATCGAGTCGAGAGTTTCCAAGTGCATTTCTAGAGTTGTTTCTGGAATGGGCCACAGCGAGGGTATTCGATTACGGGCATGCAGTCAAACATTGCAATACAAAGTTAAAGATAACGATGTCATATACTAACTACCACGAATTGTAACTTACATGTGCGGTAGGTCTTAACAAAGATTCACGTCGATCTAATGCCGATATTTTTCCAATCATTTTGTAACCAATTTACAAAGAATGAAACTGCAATGCATTTAAATCGTAATTTTCTTTATGTGTAATTATAGATTTAATTTATTAATGTGTAATTATAGATTATTAGTATTGCCGCGATATGGCTAGTCGTTTTCAGAGTACACTTTAGGTCACGTGCAGAATGCAATTGTGTATAAATACTACAATACATTAAATATTGATAATAAAAAAGGCATGAGCTGAGGATGAATGATCATACTCTTATATTTTAATACACGGTGCGAGTCATTTCTTAATAAGATTTAGAAATATTTTAGATAATTATATGCACGTTTAGATAATATTATGCACGTTCGGGGACACGGTTGACTCAGTCGCCTGAGCGCCACAATTTGCTGTGCAGAAGCACGCACGCCAGAAACCCATGAACGCGTGTTCGAATACCGGCGTTTAACCCAAAACACTCACTCACTCAGTGCAGGTTCCTATCAATGACCCTGTATTGTCAAAAATATTTTGTTTTGTTTTTTGTCATGCAAACTATGTTGATTTAAATAAAAATTTAAATATTTAGATATTTAACATAAGTTAAGGTATGACAGGTGGAAACAATGCTTGATGTTTCTGTATCCAAGTATTAATGGTACAAAAAACTAATATAAACATTCCAGTTCTAACAAGTAGAATTATAAATTATGATGATGACAGAGTATGTTTTGATATTTAATATTACAGTTTGCGGAACCCATTCCGGGGGGACTACATGCGGGAGTCAACATCAGCTTCACTGCGCGGCAACATGCCACGGGCGACCTGTAAGTGCGAGAAGGAATTTCTAGTTTCATGTTATAGTTTAACATTCAAGGGGTTTATTGTCTAACCTCAAAACAAACGGTTTGTTTATACTGACGTGTAGTAAATTGTACATATACTAAATATCATGATTATGCATATCAAGTTATGCAATTCCTAATTCGGACTGTGCTCCTGTCGTGCGAGATAAGAATGCTAATTACGGTGAATATTACCATTGGGGCACACAAGAATTTAGGCACTTTTACTCCTAATCTTGCATTTCAGACCATCACTGTTAGACACAATAGTGTGAGTGAGTGAGTTTGGTTTAACGACGCTTTGGACAGTATCTAAGTTATGTCACGGCGTGTCAGCTTGATGTGGGAGGAGGCCCGGAAGTGAAGCAGGTCTCAGACTTTTACCACCTTGGTGAGACCCACAAGCACCAGCATAGTGGTGACCACCATATAAACATAATGGGGGCGAACCGGAATTCGAGCCCACAATCATGTGTTTCTGGCATACCCTTCACGTCGTAATATAACTGTCATACTGTTCACAGCGACGTTAAACCCACCTCACTCACTCACGCCTGACATACCTAAAGGACGCAACGTGGTTGGTTGGACATGGCACTGTGCAGAGCGAATAGCGGCGCCATAGTCGACTGGGCCACCCGTGACAATATAGAGCATTACTTACTGGTTGTCGTAAATGAGGTTATTTTGAACTAACCATGGAATGAAAGAGATTCCACGGTTAGTAGTTATAATCAATAATAATCAATTACATGCACATATTTTCTATATGTGAAGACATTTCTTTTCAGATGGGTAATGAATCTATACAACGAGACGGGTACTATTGCTCTCCATCTCAAGGTCGGCTTGTCGGGCTGGGTATTATGGGATACTTTCACAGACCACTGGACACACAATCACCTCGACACAACCACTGTGCCCTTCCCTCCCCACCCCAGTGTGTTCACCTGTAGTGTGCAGGTGACGGAGGCGAGTTACACGGTCAGTAGGTCGCTCATTACACAACACCCCGTGTCTACTCTGTCATCCCCCGGCAGCCCCGTGCAGCTCTACACCACGTCTACCCAGCTTACACAGAGATCCTCTCCTCTCAATAGACCCTTCTTATTTTCACGAATCACCACAGATGCATCGATATCGCATCACTCGCGAACAATGATTAATTCGAGAAATATTATTATTGTAATGTAGTAATCGTGGAAACGTGGCATGATACATTTTATAGGTTCAGAGCATCTACAACAAACAAAAAAATTTTGGTCGCAATAATACAATATATATAGCCGAGGTATATATTACGACCGTAGAGAGTGCTTCAGTTGTAAATGTGTGCTAACAATGTTTCAGTTTTCAAATGTATGTGTTCCTGAAACTGTTTGCCAGGTTGAGAAAAACATGGTCGAATCACCAACTACAAGTGTTGTACTCGTACGCCATTTTACCAGTCACATATTTTTTTATCTTCAAATTAGAACATTTTTTCTCCTCGATATATAGATAGGCGTTGAAATACACCGTTGCTACATTTGCGTTAGTCAAAGAAAATTCAGAACAACGGTTCCCGTTTTAAAACGAACAAAAATTCGCATTCGCACCAAACCCACCTAGCTTCGTGCTTCGTTACAAGAAATTAAGATACAATGTTACAATATCGGATCGCTGATCTGACAATTGCGGTTCTCTAAAATCTGATCTCGAACTGCCATGCGAATGTTTACACTGCTGTACTTATTGCAGTTGTTGGTGAATGGTGTATCTTTCGTGACCTACAACCACGTGGTATCGGAGCTGTGGACCATCAACGCCTTAACATTCGGAGACTCGATCGAGCTCTTGGAGGTTGACATGCAACTGTAATAGATGTCAACAGCCTCGTGGTGTGATGATGAACAGCTGCACCAGGCCAGTACCAGACAACACGTTCACAGACACTGTAGTCTAGTTGCAACAACATTCACCATCAGGCCAGTACCAGACAACACGTTCACAGACACTGTAGTCTAGTCAACAACATTCACCATCAGGCCAGTACCAGACAACACGTTCACAGACACTGTAGTCTAGTCAACAACATTCACCATCAGGCCAGTACCAGACAACACGTACACAGACACTGTAGTCTAGTCAACAACATTCACCATCAGGCCAGTACCAGACAACACGTTCACAGACACTGTAGTCTAGTTGCAACAACATTCACCATCAGGCCAGTACCAGACAACACGTTCACAGACACTGTAGTCTAGTTGCAACAACATTCACCATCAGGCCAGTACCAGACAACACGTTCACAGACACTGTAGTCTAGTCAACAACATTCACCATCAGGCCAGTACCAGACAACACGTTCACAGACACTGTAGTCTAGTCAACAACATTCACCATCAGGCCAGTACCAGACAACACGTACACAGACACTGTAGTCTAGTCAACAACATTCACCATCAGGCCAGTACCAGACAACACGTTTACAGACACTGTAGTCTAGTCAACAACATTCACCATCAGGCCAGTACCAGACAACACGTTCACAGACACTGTAGTCTAGTTGCAACAACATTCACCATCAGGCCAGTACCAGACAACACGTACACAGACACTGTAGTCTAGTTGCAACAACATTCACCATCAGGCCAGTACCAGACAACACGTTTACAGACACTGTAGTCTAGTCAACAACATTCACCATCAGGCCAGTACCAGACAACACGTACACAGACACTGTAGTCTAGTCAACAACATTCACCATCAGGCCAGTACCAGACAACACGTTCACAGACACTGTAGTCTAGTTGCAACAACATTCACCATCAGGCCAGTACCAGACAACACGTACACAGACACTGTAGTCTAGTTGCAACAACATTCACCATCAGGCCAGTACCAGACAACACGTTTACAGACACTGTAGTCTAGTCAACAACATTCACCATCAGGCCAGTACCAGACAACACGTACACAGACACTGTAGTCTAGTCAACAACATTCACCATCAGGCCAGTACCAGACCACACGTACACAGACACTGTAGTCTAGTCAACAACATTCACCATCAGGCCAGTACCAGACAACACGTTCACAGACACTGTAGTCTAGTCAACAACATTCACCATCAGGCCAGTACCAGACAACACGTACACAGACACTGTAGTCTAGTTGCAACAACATTCACCATCAGGCCAGTACCAGACAACACGTTCACAGACACTGTAGTCTAGTTGCAACAACATTCACCATCAGGCCAGTACAAGACAACACGTTCACAGACACTGTAGTCTAGTCAACAACATTCACCATCAGGCCAGTACCAGACAACACGTTCACAGACACTGTAGTCTAGTTGTAACAACATTCACCATCAGGCCAGTACCAGACAACACGTTCACAGACACTGTAGTCTAGTTGCAACAACATTCACCATCAGGCCAGTACCAGACAACACGTACACAGACACTGTAGTCTAGTCAACAACATTCACCATCAGGCCATGCAGATCAACAGCAATACACAATATACATTCCAATGAAGATAGTTATACTAAATTATCTCACTTCTTATAAAGAGCAGTACACAAGGTGAACAGCACGAAACACATACTAATTAGTCAGTCATAAAGTTTGGATGAACAAACATATTACAGATATATACATTTCTATATTTACTTGGTACTGATGGAATGACTAGTTGAGGGCTGAACATATACCCCACATTTGTGTTGGATTTGCAGATTTTTAAAATGGCTTAAATCCAAATGTGAAGGTCCAAGTGGTTGAGTTCATTATGTTCTCCACATAATATAAAGTTCGCGATCTTATTATCACTCTCGTCACAGAATGTAACAAAATCCCGTCCTGACAGGATTGATGAAAGTATCTCCAAGTCACTTTGCTTGCATTGTTTAGTGTTGCACACTTTTGTAGTATGTGTTTGGCACAGGTTTGTACATGTGTCAAAGGTGGCACCATTGTCTATGTTAACAACATGTGCCAGTTTTAACTGGGGATGGAAATAGGCTGTTTTCTAAGACAAGTAATGCTCGGTGGATAAGAGAACAGTGGAACAGTTCTGGTATTGTAGCCAGAGCAGGTCAATGCATATGGTGTATACATGAAGCTTTTTATAGATAGCATCTTCTTTTATTCTTTGTTACGACTTTTCAGTACTACTTCTTACTCCTTCATCACGTGACTGCATGTTCTTCTAAAGGGGTGAACTGGTTGCCCAGTCGTCTAAGGCGCCGCGATTCGCTGTGCAGAGTTGCGTCCCTTGGGCACATCAGAAATCTGTGATTGCGGGTTCGAATCCCGGTTCGCCTCGATTATGTGTCTAGATTTGTCAGCACCATACCCGTGCTCGTTGGTTTCACCGAAGTGGTAAACGTCTGAGATCTGCATCGCTTCGGGCTTTCCTCCCACATTAAGCTGACACGCTGTGATATAGCTGCAATAATGTTATGAGCGGCGTTGAACCCAAGTTCTAAATGCCCATCAAATACTTGATACATAATGGTTATCGTAAGCTGGCAGTGTCTATGTTACTGTCTGACTCCAACTGTATTTGTAGATTTTCATCACATCGGTTTGGTTGTATTTTTAAATAATGTCAGCTCTGAGTTCTGTCAGTTAAACAGTTTGGGGACAAAGATGTTTTGTGAGCTTCTTAACCCTGCTAAACAATCACGGGTTTCGATCGAAATATTTTATTTGATGTTAATTTTGATTCCTGTCTACATTAGCGGCCGGTCGTGATATCGTCTTGGGTTGTTCACTTGAGGCTATACGTGTCGTGAAATCGTCTTGGGGTGTTCACTTGAGGCTATACGTGTCGTGAGGTCGTCATGGGTTGTTCACTTGAGGCTACACGTGTCGTAAGATCGTCTCGGGTTGTTCACATTAGGCTATACGTGTCGTGTTCACTAGTGGCCAGGGTTGTTCACTCGTATACGTGTCGTGAGATCGTCTAGGGTTGTTCACTAGTATACGTGCCATGAGATAGTCTGGGATTGTTCACTGGTATAGGTGTCGTGAGATCGTCTAGGGGTGTTCACTGGTATAGGTTTCGTGAGATCGCCTAGGGGTGTTCACTGGTATAGGTGTCGTGAGATCGCAATGGGTGTTCACTGATATAGGTGTCGTGAGATCGTCTAGGGGTGTTCACTGGTATAGGTGTCGTGAGATCGTCTTGGGGTGTTCATTGGTATAGGTGTTTTGAGATCGTCTAGGGGTGTTCACTGGTATAGGTGTCGTGAGATCGCCTCAGGTTGTTAACTGGTGGCTATACTTATTGTGAGATCACATAGGGTTGATTACAACTGCAGCAATTTGAGGCTCGTTTGTTCACACAACACAACACATGCAATTGCTATCATATTGTTATTTAAGCCACGAACCTTTCCTAATTTTAGTTAAGGATTGTTACCCATTGCACGTTATTGTCCTCGTAGTTCAGCATTCCTTAAATACATACATCAATATGTTCTCATCAACACTACGTATACACCAATTGGAACTTCGTGGTAACAACAATACATAAAAATAACTTTTCAAGAATAGTCAAGGCATGATTCTTAATCACGTAATTCTAATAATAACTATATTTTGTTAGGACGGCTAAGCGACACCATCATCAGCTGGGCAATCAGCGATTGGTGGACATTGTGATATTGACGTGATGAATGTTGACGAGATGTTGGAGGCCATGTGACTTCGTTGAGTTTCGTGAAATACATGCTTCTGCAAGTTGGGTTATCTAGATTTTGGAACAGGGAGATTTGTCGTCGTTCTTTACGTTGTAGCTGTCGGCTATGCATTACCCATGAATGAGCGGCGACTTGAGGTCCGGTGAATACTCTGTAGATGCACTGTACGCAGGCAATACACAGCATATGTTGTGCTGACAGGTGGCGACATCTGGCAACCACGGACGCTTAAGGTGATGAAACTGTCGTACTTGGAGATTGTAGTTCCTCCACGTTCATGTCACCCGGATCTCACACCAGCTGGATATTACTTATGCCACGTACTTATACTAAGTAAAGGTAAGGAAGTAACGGCGTTACAAGGTCACAGACTGGCCATGTGGGATCGAACATATGACATAACTATTATTGTATGTTGAGCCATAACTACACGGACACTGGTAGGCGTCGACCAAGAATGTGATCGTGGGTCCAGCTCAGTACAAACATACAGCTCCATACATGATAGTGAAGGCATTTACAGAAGTACGTACTCCATTCTGACTGGGCAATATGAGTAATGAATATTATACAATTTTGTATGAATGGTCATGAATAGATTAAGATTTGCCTGATTGACATTGATGCTTCTCTATCTCCAATGAAGCTGAGGCTCAACATGCGTGACAGGTGGCATGTCACTCGGAGCGTCAATCAGCAATTCTTTATTTACAAAGAACAGACAGGTCAGGCTTTTACTGTGTGACGTCTAGAAGTTTTACTTTAATGATGTAACTGTTTTAACTTTATATTTCTTTATGCTTTGTTATATGGCAGTGAAATTTATTGTTAAACAATGATTGTAACTGTATCACATTGTTTCTGATGAGATTCAGTAGAATTTCACTGCATTGTATTTGGACAATGATTAGTTATCAGTTGTTATTGTAATTGCTGTGTAGTCATTTGCATTGATGTGTAAACCTTGTTGATCGTGTAATACAATTGTTGATTGTTTACCATTTGTTGGTTGGTTTTCCACTAAGTTCGTTTAAGTACAGATTTCTGGGTAAACATATTGTTTCATCTTATAAGTTATGTAAGTCTGTTTGTACATTTTGTAAATATCCGCTCAAGGTTAGCTCTAAGACATTATCGTCAGTGAGCGTTGAACTTTGATCCTCGGTGTCTTTCAATACATCACGGTCGTTAGCGAGCTGAAACGTCTCTGGGGAGAAATTGACAGTGTTTGTTAAAACACAGATCAATATTACACTCCAATCACAATTATCAAAATAGGCCAAACTATAGATTTGGATTTAGTTATTTTTCTCTCCCCACTTTATATTTTGTTGATCGAAATTATTGATTATTGTTACCGTCTGTGATTGGGAAATAACAGTAAACAGACACATGACGTCTTTACGACCTTTGTCTGAGATCCATACTAAAAAGTAGGGAAACTACGTCAATTGTTTAGGACAATCAGTATCAACGCCAATCGTTGCATTGTACTTGAAGGAGGAGAGGTGAATATGGGTACACACTGGAATATTTTGAACACTTTCATATGACAAGTACATGCATACATACACACACAGACACACACACACACACACACACACAAACACACACACACACACACACACACACACACACACGCACGCACGCACGCATGCATACACGTCGCTATATAAGTGCAATAAACTCCACTAAGGAGATGTTATTAGATAGTACTCCTCGAAATCGACATAAATACATAAACTGGTATCTCAGACTCGTGAGTGATGAGAAAGACCTGATACTCAATGATAATTATGAACCTTCATCTCGCCATCTGGAGTAATCAGAACACCTTGTAACATACACTCTCTCTCACGTAGTTGACTGGTCTTAAAGGAACTTGTTCAGTCCATCCTACACTGCAATCAGAACACCTTGTAACATACACTCTCTCTCTCTCACATAGTTGACTGATCTTGAAGGAACTTGTTCAGTCGATCCTACACTGCAATCAGAACACCTTGTAACATACACTCTCTCTCTCACACACACATAGTTGACTGATCTTGAAGGAACTTGTTCAGTCCATCCTACACTGCAATCAGAACACCTTGTAACATACACTCTCTCTCTCTCACATAGTTGACTGATCTTGAAGGAACTTGTTCAGTCCATCCTACACTGCAATCAGAACACCTTGTAACATACACTCTCTCTCTCACACACACATAGTTGACTGATCTTGAAGGAACTTGATCAGTCCATCCAACACTGCAATCAGAACACCTTGTAACATACACTCTCTCTCACATAGTTGACTGATCTTGAAGGAACTTGCTCAGCCCATCCTACACTGCAATCAGAACACCTTGTAACATACACTCTCTCTCTCACCTAGTTGACTGATCTTGAAGGAACTTGATCAGTCCATCCTACACTGCAATCAGAACACCTTGTAACACACTCTCTCTCTCACCTAGTTGACTGATCTTGAAGGAACTTGCTCAGTCCATCCTACACTGCAATCAGAACACCTTGTAACACACTCTCTCTCTCACCTAGTTGACTGATCTTGAAGGAACTTGATCAGTCCATCCTACACTGCAATCAGAACACCTTGTAACACACACTCTCTCTCACCTAGTTGACTGATCTTGAAGGAACTTGATCAGTCCATCCTACACTGCAATCAGAACACCTTGTAACATACACTCTCTCTCACGTAGTTGCCTGGTCTTGAAGGAACTTGTTCAGTCCATCCTACACTGCAATCAGAACACCTTGTAACATACACTCTCTCTCACATAGTTGACTGATCTTGAAGGAACTTGTTCAGTCCATCCTACACTGCAATCAGAACACCTTGTAACACACACTCTCTCTCACCTAGTTGACTGATCTTGAAGGAACTTGATCAGTCCATCCTACACTGCAATCAGAACACCTTGTAACATACACTCTCTCTCACGTAGTTGCCTGGTCTTGAAGGAACTTGTTCAGTCCATCCTACACTGCAATCAGAACACCTTGTAACATACACTCTCTCTCACATAGTTGACTGATCTTGAAGGAACTTGTTCAGCCCATCCTACACTGCAATCAGAACACCTTGTAACACACAATCTCTCTCACCTAGTTGACTGATCTTGAAGGAACTTGCTCAGCCCATCCTACACTGCAATCAGAACACCTTGTAACATACACTCTCTCTCACATAGTTGACTGATCTTGAAGGAACTTGTTCAGTCCATCCTACACTGCAATCAGAACACCTTGTAACATACACTCTCTCTCACCTAGTTGACTGATCTTGAAGGAACTTGCTCAGCCCATCCTACACTGCAATCAGAACACCTTGTAACACACACTCTCTCTCACATAGTTGACTGATCTTGAAGGAACTTGTTCAGTCCATCCTACACTGCAATCAGAACACCTTGTAACATACACTCTCTCTCACATAGTTGACTGATCTTGAAGGAACTTGTTCAGTCCATCCTACACTGCAATCAGAACACCTTGTAACACACACTCTCTCTCATAGTTGACTGATCTTGAAGGAACTTGCTCAGCCCATCCTACACTGCGAGCTAACTCTCTCTTAAAGTGTTGAGACACTACTTTGAGTAAAGGCAGGCGACAACTCCAAAATTCTGAGCAAACCGGACTCGACTTTGTTACAGAAGCCATTCATAAATGGACCTGGCAAATGCATACCTGAGGGAATGAGGAAAAATAGTAGGCAAGACTCGTTTTAGCAGTCAAGCTATTTCAAGTCCGTCGCTGAATAATCCCGTCTTCGCCAGGCAAATATTTACAAAAGAACAATCAATTAGCAGGTATACCTTTTATATGTTCTTAGTGTAGGAACAGTAGTCTTGTGTTTTAACACACTCTCTGGCTTTACAGGAACGTGCGTTACGTCTTGTGATGTTCACTTCCAAACATACCATGTTGCGTAGGGGAAAACTTTACACCTCACATATACAAACGTTGTTAAAGACGATTTTTAGGGGTGTTTAATTATCTCGAATGTACCTATTGTCTGCAGTAACTAATGTTTAGTAAACTGCAATTTCGTACAATATCTTCTCGTGGAAGGTTCTGCAACATCATGCCCACCAGGACCCTCATCAAATGACCGATCAAGACTGATTTACGTAATACGAAGGTTAGATGTGACGAATGAGATGGCACACTATCATCGCTTCATTTGAATATGTGAATGTCACTGCTCCTAGCTGACACCTCTGTTCATGCAAAGCTTGATTGATTACCCCATGTCGATTATCATAACCTTTAGCGAGAGGGAATACATCCATACTTACATATTCACAACCAAAATACTCTTAGATCATGTGATTATGAATGAGTGTAACGTTATAAAGTTCTCTTTGTATGCCTTAAGGCATGTTTGCAATACACTCATTGCGTCAAAGACCAACAGCGGCGTCTGGCTTCAGTTGTAGCTATCATACATGTAATTTGTACCAGAAACAAAAGAATTACTCATGTACGAGTTTATGGTAAACATTATGAATAGGTTTTACTGGTTCAAATTTCAACAAATGAACCAGTGTATTTGTGAGTTAAACATGGTTAAATCTACAGGTAATCTAGCTCAACTTTGAAAACACAGTATATTTATCTCCATTCTACCATGACTAAAAAAACGCGAACTCTTTGGTGTTAACAAATACTTTGAGTGAAGCGGCATGGTTTGAGTCCAGGGTATCGTTTCTCAAAGCAGTCGTAAATTTACACGCTCGTAGAGTTTACGCCAATTTTACACCGACGTAATATTACACTAGAATTGTGAAACGCCCCTGGTTCAGTATTTCCAAGTGACGCCAGTTTTACAAGCACGTAAGACTTACGACTGCTTTGTGAAATGGTACCCATTGACTTGAGTGGGTTGTCGATCTGAATAGCGGACTTACCGACAACAGCCATTAAGCAAAATATGGCGCTGTATGTTCAGGCAGTTTGTTTATACCGTAATACTTCACTTGGACATGTGACAGGCTTTGAAAGCATATGTGCACGGCAACTTTGAAATCTAACATGATGGGGGCACCCCTACAGAAAACTAAGCAAGCTTTGCAAATCTTTCCTTCTCCACCGCACGTCACCATTATGACGCCATATCGCACAACAAGCAAAACCAATGACATTTCAGTCGTATATAGAAAATTCCAAGCACTCTGTTGTCCCTAAAACTTAAAATAATACTCTTTGTAGATTAGTAAATGGTGTTTTCTACACGAGATGTATTGCCACACATCGTTTAAATATTGTAGTAACTGCAACTGTGCATTGTGTAATCTATAATTGCAGATATACTTATTTAAATATGCCTACCGACGATGACTGAAAAAAGGTACTATTTTATGAATATAAGCTTCCGCGGTGATGCGGCCGTCAAATCGGCTGTTTCAATCAGAAGGGGTTTATCGTGACTTAATAGCCTCTGATTGACCAATCCGAATCGAGTAATTTCCAAATTCATGGTAGAATATCTAATATACCTAATTGTATTCTTTGGGTTCGTGTTTGCGTGTCAGTAATATTTGTTTTAACGTATTACCTGCAAAGTGTAAGTGGTAGAAAATTTCAGCAATATATGCCGCATTATATTGATAGCATCAAACGCAAACATTGTATATGTGGTTGAAACACTATTCCAATTTATCAATTCGTGACAGCCTAATGTTGGAGGTCTTTGATGTGAACCCAGACAGCGCGGGTGTGATTCAGATAAACAAATTAAGAATCTTGGAATCAATCACACAATTACAGGCACAGCTATGGACCGCAGCTCTCCAAATTTTCGGCTTTTTTCACCAGCTTTGAATAAGATCTCCTTTCAAAGGGTTTTTTCTCAGTAATATGGCCATCAATATCATAAGCTAAAGATGATTCCATAACGCTAACGGTTCAGTCAGGAAGCAGGAATTATTGATCACATTAATGGTGAATCGTTAATATCTTGATCAATACACGAACGACGAAAGTTAACTTTCCCCTTTGTCCCGACATGGGAAACTTGAATCCTAGCCTGAACATCGATAGACAACATGATTTCTACCTTGGTCCGGAATGTAAGTCATTCAGAGGCGTACAGCAATGACACATTTTACACAGATCTCCAGTAAGTATGACGGTGTACCATCTTCTCGTGCTTGCATACAGCGCAATACAATGTTGCAATGCTTGTTTAAAAGTAGAGTTTATTGTCGACAACGTCATAGTGGACAAAATAAGTAATAGTGCAGCTCAGTGGACGCTGAGTGGTATCACTACTGATGAGGAGTGTGGCATCAAGTGTGTGCAGGCTACAGGTTGCCTGTCCTTCTTCTACAACGAGGCTGAGGGCAACTGCAGGCTTCACTCCACCATGTTCAAGCCTTCAGAGTCGTCTCTGGAAGCAGCTCCTGGCTACACGTACCGTAAACGTAAGTTGAAGTAGAAACCCATGAGATGATATAACGCCGCTTTCACGGTAATTCACTTACGTCATGTATTAAATTGGGAAGAATATCTAAACTGGAATTGGGCGATGACCTATTTGGTTTTACAAGGTGCTAAGAAGACAGTGCTCAAAATCAAAGTAGTGGATCAGTGTCTCAATAAAATCCTACATTACTTATTTAAAACAACCTGGGCCAGCCTCACTTCAGTGAGAATGAACGTCAAGATGTAAGTAAACATTTGCGTCTTTTCAAATGGAATACCAAATTTGTGAATCTTCGCCCAACGTTTGGCTTGTGGCCTGAGAGGTGAAATGTATTGCCTTTCATTGCAGCTTTTTGCCCTCAACTTGCAAAATATATTATACCCAGCGGGACAACAGGCGTCTCATCTGAGGGCAGTGTCATGGTTGCACGTGTGTCATGTGAAAGCGACGCCATCTTTATTGGAACATCTGAAACCGTCAAATGTGACGCTGACGGGTTTTGGCCGCAGATGGGGTCATGTGCTTTGACGCGCTGGTCGCACCCGGTACGTCACTCAAACTATATATTTCCCTTCAGGTAAAATGTCAGGTAAAAAATATTCTGAAACGGTCCAAGGAAATTGGCCATTGTAGAAAGCGTCAAGACGAAGTTAGAGACAACGGCTACAGAGTGAGAGAAAAGGGCCAATGCTTCAGGCAAGAATAAAAAAAGCGTGCCCTACTGAGAAAACAGGCAGTGAGTAGAACCAAATTGGCGACCAATTTGAATGAAATTTCATCAGTGAACAGTAAGTATATAACTGCCAATTAGACTAACATTTAGTCTCTGAAATCTTATATCACACAATATCCTTCTCGACTCTAAAAATAAAATAAAAAATCCCTATGCTGTGGAATAAAGCTAGCTAGGGCTGGCTAGACTTGCTTTTGTATGCGTTTCTAGATAATATTATATTTTTTTAATAAAATAAATTTATTCCACGGTCATGGTGCAGGACTAAACTGCCAATGTGAATATGTATCACGTACTGGGGTGAACCGATATAGTGTTTACATAGTTGTTTACATTTTGAGGCGTTACCGTTATGACATTACAAGGAACGATCTTTCACTGATAGGGGCCTAGTGCCAACTTGTTCGAATAGCTTTTCTAATACGAGTATTTCAAATAAGGATTCCCCGTATAGAATTGGTTGGAAATCATAAAGGAGAGTCCTCATACAGAAAGTTGTCTTCTCATGGGTCATTCATTTACTATCAGTTTGAGTTAATCCTCTGTGGATCTAGTGGTGTCGACGATCTCTCCTTTCAATTACATTTGCACTAACAACTTACAATGATGTTCGGGTTATCTTAATCCGTTTATACAATCATTTTTTTCTTTAAATTTACTTATTCACATACATTTTTACTGTAGTAATATGCTAATCGATATTTATAAAAACTTTAAACAAAAATAGATTATTCTTTCAACTTACAAATCATACTTACTATTCACTGATTCACTTAAATTCAGGATATTATTTGCAGATATTAGTTGCTGATTTCTCAATACAGTACAATTTGGCCCTTTCCTCTGATGCTATAACCGCCTCTTCTAACACCGCTTTGGTCGCTTCTAAAATGGCCTTTTCAACAGTTCAAATCTAAATAAACCCGTATAAATACCGTCTGTTATCCAAAACGCTTGTGAGAAGTTTTTTTCATTTAATTTACCGGCCAATGAATGATAATGAGTAGCTAGGAGCTCTACAAAGTAGTGGACAAAGATACTGTGTAATGCATTAAAGAATGAAAACGATGGTTTTCAAAATAAGACCAGTCAGAACAATTGAAACATAATTTTAGGATTTATTGTACGAAACAGGAGGTTTTTTTTCACCTCTCAACCTGATAGAGTTGAAATTAAGGATGCGACTCTAAATCGGGTGATTATTTGACAAGATTATCTTGCGAAGCGTTCCAAATATGAAACTATCTCATTCACATCCGAGATAACTGAACCATTGCTGATATTTGCCATTTACTGAAAAGGTACCATCCAATGTGCTCGCCGTACCATTTTTTTATTTCGAATTGGCATAAATGTTCCTCTCTGCGTGCACACCCAGCACAGTGCATCACATAATATCACGTGATGTAAATATGAGCATGTATTTCAGACAGTGCCATTCAGTGAAGCAATCCCCTTCACTACCAAGGCTGGGACAGCGATTGACATCATTGGCCGTTCGTTTGGAAAAGAGTAAGTAACCAAACATAACACATATTGCCTCAACAACATGTTGTTTGCTACACAGCAGTTTATATATAGATAGAATGTGGCAGGATCAGATACACGTTTGAATGTTCACATAAATGACCCACTGCCACAATTAGTAGTGTGAGCGTAACTACTACCTGTACAGTTGCTAGTGAAAATCATTACACGACCTTAACGATGCTGATCTGATGTAAAATTGTGCCACACGTGACCAGTGTTGTTATAAGAGCACATGTAACAGGCAATCTATAACAAGACACACGTTCAGGATGCTACCACTTCACAACCTTGATCTGTGGAATTTGTGAGATAACGCCTTGACATTTCAAATCAAAAGTCGAGTTGTGTGTTGACGTTGTGGGAAGGAATAACTTTACTACCTGACCACTTTCAGTGATATAAAGTTCCCGTGTTCTAGGTTACAGATGGAAATAGGCGCTGGGAGCGACGTTGCGCTCTACCTGATGGCGAGTGAAGACGGCATCCTGGATCGGGCGTCCATTGTAAGCGGCAATAAAGAAGGCCTCATCAGCCTCTCGACGTCGGAGTTCTACAAACCTGCAAAAGAATTTAAATGCAATGTGAAGATATCCAGCACCGAGTTCACGGTAAGAGTTTTCTACAGTACATAACTTTATAATTACCGGTATAGAGAATGTGTTATGTTAAGCTCCGTGCATTCCATTTTATGGTCTAATATATTCATGACACGTGATAGTGATGTTGTCCCTTGTGCTGTATTTACAACGCTTTATTTAAAACTTGTTTTTCTGACTGCCTCCGTGGTCTAGTGAATAGAGCGTCTGCCCGTAGAGTTTGGGGACATTGGCTTCAGCTGTTACATCAATATACTCTTTTATTGTGACCCGCTTCCAGTGGTCTGGTGGTAGAGCGTCCGACCGTAAAGCGGAAGGTCCGGGGTTCGATCCCCGACCACGTCATACCAAAAGACGAAGGTATTAACAGTTACCCGCCTGGCGCTCGGCATTAAGGGGCTATAACAATGACGGGGCGGCTCGGAGACAGTATGCTGTGTCTGTGTGGGGTATTCTTGTTAAACTGCGGCATGGTATCTCAGAGGGATAGCACTATTAAACAGGCATTAGCCCGGACTAGTACCACACACGCACATACGCACACACGCACACACGCACGCACGCACACATATACGCAAACACACACACACACACGCGTGTGTGAATTTAATACGAGCATACGACTTTTCCATTGGACGAGAGGCCGATCACATGGCCGCGAAACTGACGTTCACAAGTGTATGAACGACACCTCTTGACGTCCATACGTTATTCACAAGACTGTTTTCTTGAAATGACAGAAACAGTGACGGACTACTTCCAAACGTCCTGTGGAAACCCCTAGTATTTCTCTCGCCTGGCAATTCCCTAGCCGGAATACAAACGGAAAACGTTGTTTCTGATCAGTTAGACCTTTAAATCTTAAATCTAGACAAAATTTGAATATATTTGTTGCAACCAAACTACAAATGATACCGATGTGTACCAAGAGCATTATCTGTTTCCGTTTCAGTTATCTGTGGGTGGTAAGGTGGTTTTCACATACGTCCACGTGGTGCCAGTTGAGTCCATAGACAAGCTAAGATTTATGAATGGCATTGAACTGAAGGAAATCCATATGTATCAATGACTGATGAAAGTATGCTGTAACATGGTATGTTACGCTCGTCGGGCACATTTTATTAAATACATAGAGATGTAAAAAATATGATAATTTACTTCTTTAAATGATTTCGACCAAACGTATTGAAAATAAACGTACGTGTATTTCCCATCTCTGTGGGTGGGGCAGTGACAAAATTATCTAATCTTACAAGATAGTCTTCTTTTCTTTGATTTAAGTAGAGATTTTGATACCTGCAAATTTTAAGTTAAATATAGTGTATAAAGATTATGTTTATGATGTGTGGTGTGTTTTGGGTTTTGTGTGTGTTAGTATAAGAATTAATTTAATCGTTTCATATGATTCCCCCTTTATTTGTGGAAGTGATCTCTATTTTGCCTTCAACATGTTAATGTGCTGTTCCTGTGACGTGTGAAACAAAGGGCTGATGTGGCAGGTGTGCAACTGCCCTCTTCACTAGAATGAGTGACAAACACAATCTGGCTACTAAAAACTGCATATGTCATTCCAGTGAAAACGATATTAAATATCTCAGATGGCTTATACAGGTATGCCCATGTGTGCTGCGTCATGTTGGTTTGATTATATTATACGTCACTATGTATTAGATGGCTTGTACAGGTATGCCTATGTTTGTTGTGTCATGTTGGTTTGATTATATTAAACGTCACTATGTATTAGATGGCTTGTACAGGTATGCCTATGTTTGTTGTGTCATGTTGGTTTGATTATATTATACGTCACTATGTATTAGATGGCTTGTACGGGTATGCCTATGTTTGTTGTGTCATGTTGGTTTGATTATATCACCATCCTGTGTTAAAGATGTCGAAGTCTTACAATAAAATACTTTACTTTACGTATGCAGTTGCTGTCTTTTTATTGAACGTATATTGATATGAATATATCAGTTTTGTTGCTTTCTGCTTTTGTTCTGTCTTTCATCATATTCTTACTGAGAATGTGTTAGAAGTAAGATTGTAATGAATTATGTCATCTGAAGTCAATTACAATGCGACAGGCATCAGCATATCAATATTGTAATAACAATTTATTACTAGTCACGAAAAGTACTTACTTAAATTCTTTACTGCCACTGATAAATGCATGTCATTCGTCAAAAAGCTGAAATAAAAAAAGTTTCATTTAAAAATAACTATTATCGGAATTCAAACGCGTTTTACTCCACTCCGCATGTATTTTCACTTCGAAAGTACATCCACGACGGTCACGTACATGATAGCAATAGCAAAGTTTCCATTACACCTGAAGAGCCGTTGAACGGCGAAATGTCTTGTGTGGAGTTTTGACAAGCGCGAATATCTGGACACTGTTATCTTTTGTATATTTAATACTGATACACCTGATATATATTGGGAAGTTACAGAGGATTTATTTCCAGACCATGTGACACATTAGTATTAGTTTTCCTAGCTTGGCAGACCATGTGACATATTGGTTGTTCTAGCTGGGCAGATCGTGTGACATATTGGTTGTTCTAGCTGGGCAGATCGTGTGACATATTGGTTGTCCGAGCTAGACAGACCTTGTGACTTATTGGTTGTCCTAGTTAGGCAGACTATTTGACATATGGGTTGTCCTAGCTAGGCAGACTACGTGACATAGTGGTTGTCAGAACAAAGCAGACCGTTTGACATATTTTTTGTCCTAGCCAGACACACCATGTGATAGGGGGCACGGGTGGCCCAGTCGTCTAAGGCGCCGCGATTCGCTGTGCAGAGTTGCGTCCCTTGGACATATTGGTTGTCCTACCTAGGCAGACCGTGTGAGATATGGGTTGCCCTAGTTAGGCAGACCGTGTGAGATATGGGTTGCCCTAGTTAGGCAGACCGTGTGAAATATTGGTTGTCCTAGCTAGGCAGACCATGTGACATACTGGTTGTCCGAATTAGGCAGACAGTTTGACATATTTGTCTGAGCTAGACAAACCATGTGACAGATTGTTTTGTTCTAGCGACGCTGTCCGTGTGACATAGTGGTTGTCAAAGTTAGTCAGACCATGTGACATACTGGTTGTCCTAGCTCTGCAGACCATGTGACATATTGGTTGTCCTAGTTTGACAGACCATGTGAGATATTGGTTATCAAAGCGAGGCAGACCATGTGACATACTAGTATCGGTTTCCTAGCTAGGCAAACCGTGTGACATATTGGTTGCCCTAGCTCTGCAGACCGTTTGACATACTGGTTGTCCTGGCGTGGTAGCCCATGTGACATATTGGTTTTCCTAGCTTGACAGACCATGTGACATATTGATTGTCCTTACTAGGCAGACCGTTTGACATATTGGTCGTCCTAGTTTGGCAGACCATGTGACAGTTTGTGTGACATATTGGTTATCAAAGCGAGGCAGACCATGTGACATACTAGTATCGGTTTCCTAGCTAGGCAGACCGTGTGACATATTGGTTGCCCTAGCTCTGCAGACCGTTTGACATACTGGTTGTCCTAGCGTGGTAGCCCATGTGACATATTGGTTTTCCTAGCTTGACAGACCATGTGACATATTGATTGTCCTTACTAGGCAGACCGTTTGACATATTGGTCGTCCTAGTTTGGCAGACCATGTGACATATTGGTTGTCCTAGCACTGCAGACCATGTGACAGATTGGTTGTCCTAGTTTGACAGACCGTGTGACATATTGGTTGTCCTAGTTAGGCAGACCATGTGACATATTGGTTGTCCTAGCTAGGCAGACCGTGTGACATATTGGTTGTCCTAGTTAGGCAGACCATGTGACATATTGGTCGTCCTGGGTAGGCAGACCGTGTGACACATTGGTTGTCCTAGCTAGGTAGACCATGTAACATACTTGTTGTCAGAACTAGGCAGGCCGTTTGACATAGTGTTTGTCCTAGTTAGGCAGACAGTTGACATATTGGTTGTCCTAGCGTGGTAGGCCGTGTGACATATTGGTTGTCCTAACTAGGCAGACCATGTGACATATTGGTTGTCCTAACTAGGCAAACCATGTGACATATTGGTTGTCCTAGCTAGGCAGACCGTGTGACATATTGGTTGTCCTAGTCAGGCAGACCATGTGACATATTGGTTGTCCTACCTAGGCAGACCGTGTGACATATTGATTGTCCTAGCTAGGCAGACCATGTGACATATTGGTTGTCCTAGTCAGGCAGACCATGTGACATACTGGTTGTCAGAACGAGGCAGACCGTTTGACATACTGGTTCACGTAGCAAGACACACCATTTCAAATATTGGTTTTCCTACCTGGGCAGGCCATGTGACATATTGGTTGCCCGAGCTAGGCAGACCATGTGACATATTGGTTGTCCTAGCTAGGCAGACCATGCACCATACTTGTTGTCAGAACTAGGCAGGCCGTTTGACATATTGTTTGTCCTAGAGAGGCAGACCATGTGACATACTAATATTGGTTGCCCTGGCTGGGGAGACCGTGTGACAGATTGGTTGTCCTAGTTAGGCAGACCATGTGACATATTGGTTGTCCTAGTGAGGCAGACCGTGTGACAGATTGGTTGTCCTAGTGAGGCAGCCTATTTGGCATATTGGTTGTCAGAACTAGACAGACCGTGTGCCATATTGGTTTCCTGATCAGAGAGTGTGCAATTTCTGTCTAAGCAGATCAGAACGTGTGCCATATTGGTTGCCTGATCAGACAGTGTGCAATTTCTGTTGTCTGAGCAGATCAGACCGTGTGCCATAATGGTTGCCTGATCAGACAGTGTGCAATTTCTGTTGTCTGAGCAGATCAGACCGTGTGCCATATTGGTTGTCTGAGCAGATCAGACCATGCGCCATATTGGTTGTCTGAGCAGATCAGACCGTGTGCTATTTCTATTGTCTGAGCAGATCAGACCGTGTGCTATTTCTATTGTCTGAGCTGGCGACGAATGCGCCACCATGAACAAACTGTAAGTTTGATATTCAGCTTAGTAATCTAAGTATTTAGAAAGATAGCCATACGAACATCAATATTAATCAGTCGTTATTTTTGAAGGGGTATGGTATCCAAAATGATATCATATTTGTAAGTACTGAAATGTCATGTACATAGATTGATAAAATTCCGACTCGAACCCATCGACTTTCTTCTGCAGTTTAACCAAAACTTGTCAATCAATTGGCATAAAAAAATGTGTTTTTCTACACAAGGCCTGATTGACTGATTGTTTAACTAGTGTAGTAGCACAGGACATAAAAGACATCCCTTACATTACTGCAGTGTCAGCTGCGAACATCAACATCGATTAGATCTGAACTTGAATAATTAAAATCATTGTGACAAGCGACCAAGGAGATTCACATGAGTCACTGACATATAATCAGCCCGATCCAGAATGCGTGGGTTTCAGAAACCACTGAACCTCTATGGGCATTAGGCAACTCCGTTGAGAACAAGAGATCATCAGGTGTGCCAAGTGGCCGTATTGCATAGCTATGTTTACAGGAAGGATGATATATAACATAGGTTTGTACGATGACACACGTGTTGTGTTGTTGTTTTTCACCGCTAGTTTGCCTTTTACGTCAAATAGAATCTGTTTCGGTGGGAATGGAGACTTGCTATTATCTGGCGTTGACGTATTATATTGATTTGAACTGGGTCGATGTTTAAATTATGATGAGTCAACTACAAAAGAATTGATGGGGCCTAGACATAACAACTGCTCCCCACTGTATTGCAATACGAACTTATTTCGTAAACTTTTTCATCAGCATAATCTCTGCAATTATACCGAGAAGACCTAATTCCATATTAACTCCTAATTTAAATCCTAACAGAATCAACCTTCATTGAAAATGTCATTGTATAACATCAAAATACATAATTTAACCTTTATGAGCTAGATTAGCCCTTTATCCCCCTGAGATAACAGTCAGTTGAGTTGCTGTTCACTCAACCATAACTTGTGTTGTTTTAAGCTGTCTAACTAATGGGTGTATAACTAATTGGAATATAAGCAAGAGCAACCCGACCTCTTCGTAAGTTTTTATCTGAAGACAACGCATAATTGTATGTATTGGTTATAACCATTTTTTCTTTCTACCAAGATTCCAAAGAGCATCATATAACTCTTATTCAGAAGCCGTTTGATCAAGACATTCAAGGCCTCAATGAAGCTTTCAAAGAGTCTTCTTGTAGACATGTGAAGGACAATTCCAAATTTGACGCATCAGTGACAATAACGATGTCCGATGCAATTCCCTATTTTGACTTGTACAATATGTTTCCGTGTTGTTAAGGTGAACAATCGACTTGCCTTTGCATGTGTTTGTGACATCGGTAGGACAGGATACGCTCATGTTTTTCCTGAACACCTGGTATCATCACTATTTCAAAGTGATCCATTAACAAATGTTTATGATATAGTCGGAATTGTATAATCGACTCTGTTTTTCACAGAGATTTCTTATGAATATGGAAGGGTTTTGTCGCTTTTATTTACACTAAGTTATTAAAATTGAATCTTATAAGTGAGTGTGAGTGAGTAAGTTTGATTTTACGCCGCTTTTAACAATATTCCAGCAATATCACGGCGGGGGACACCCGAAATGGGCTTCACACATTGTATCCATGTCGTGAATCGAACCCGGGTCTTCGGTGTGACGAGCGAACGCTTTAACCAACTAGGCTACCCGACCGCCCCCTCATGAGTGAAATACCGAATAAAAGAAACGGCATTGGTGGGAGATATGATTTTCTACACAGTTAACGGAAACAAAATGAGTTCGTAAATACGCTAATGGCGTATCATAATCGGGAAACAACAGCCAATTTGACGTTTCTGTTGACGGAAGTATATATATCTATATGCAGTTACTCCCCGTGTGTTGATTTTCATGTAAGGCTGAGGATATAGTGGGGCATACTACAGTACCATTATCATTATCTGTGTACCTATTTCACCCACAGCGCTGAATTTGTAATCTTGCTGATTGTGTTTTAGGGGTGGGTTCTTATAAGGTTCTTATGTTTCCGAAACAGGAAGTGGTATACGTAAAGCCAGAAGTATAAGGTTTGCAATAAACTGGGCTACAGTTATTGAACTTTCGGTTGAAAAATGATAGGCAGGCAGCCTATATTTCGATACCGGTACTTAATCAAAACAGGAAGTA